CAGAAGGATGAATCAACCCTTCTGTATAATGAATAAACTTCTGGTTATATTATCAAGAGTGAGAATGTGGTGCACTTTTTGTGATGTAGTCAACAAAAAACATAGAAGTGGGCAAGCATAACTTCTTTGTTTTTTTCAAAGGATGTTTGTATCATATTCTGACAAAGGGAAAAGAGGTTTCTTTTATTTTTTTAAAAAAAACAGGAAGTGGACTGGCAATTTCCAGTTTACATGTAGGGGCGGTTCAGCCCACAGTGGGTCTGTGGTGTATGGAAAATTGCCCCTGGACCTTCTTTTTCACTTACATTGAAAAGGGGCATTATATTAAACAAATTGCAAAATCCTTATACATAGGGTTTTTTATTTATTTTATCATATTTCAATACATTTGTTATATATCGTTTGTTTTACACCATACACATAATATTCAGTACAATCTACAATACATTATCTTTTGGTATCTACTGTTATTTTTATGTTTATAAATTATTTTCTATCCCTCATCACCATTTTCCCTCCCCCCGAACCACTCCTTTTATATATCATCTGTCCAAAATTTCATTTCATCTTGTGAAGACAACTTTCCATCTTTCTTTTTGAATCCTCTTTCCTTATACATAGTTACTTGGCAGTAAGGCCTGTAACTTTTTATGATAGTACTCACAGTTAGTACATTCTGGTGTATTTTTAATCTTATGACAATGCCAGTGCATTTCCGTACATAACAATGTCCAATATATCGACATGTTTGTGAGCATAGAATGAAAAGGTATATCACAACATCCAAACACTGATAGCCAGAAAAAGGTATTCCTATTAACCAAAACATTTGTATAGTTGATCAGTCTCATTTTCTGGAAAAAGAAGATAACCAACATTATTCCTTGGACCATTCAAATATCACCACTATAATCCCCAACTAAACCTAAGCAAAAATGAGATGTGAATCCAAAAAACTAGGAAATGAACATAAACTCTCAAGAAATGCACAATATCAATTTAGACTCACTTTTGTTCTGAAATGGCACCATCTTGCCATTGTGGTAACAACATTTTTAGTCACTCTTTATTCCATGTTAGCAACATACAGTAAAAAAACTACAATGGACATTCTAAACACATTGGGGTTGGCAAAATGTGGTCTCTAACAACCAAGTTTGAAGAGGATGAGTGCAGTGAGATTTTATGATTAGTGTTGTAGTTGTCTTTTTTATTATTCCTGTTTTCTCTTATTCTAATCCCACAACTATGTAGTTATGTATATATAATTGAACCTTTAATTACTTCCTCAATGTATATGTGAAACTTGTGCTAAAATTAATTGGGTAGTCTTACAGGTGGCACAAGAGTTTTATTTTCTGTCCCTCTCTTATTTGTACTAAAACAAACATGGCTCCCTTTTAGCCTTGGAGTCTCAAAGAATATACATTATTTTGTTTTCTTGCCTACAGAATGAAACATTCAGGAGTATGTCCGCACTCATCTGATGTTCTTGTAAAATTATTGTTGGATTCTCTTCTTCAGACTCAAAGAACATGATGTACCTAGTTCACAAGGTTATATTCCATGCCTCATTTAGTCTCTTAGTATTCACATACAATGAACAGCTATTCCTATTTTACGAGTAACTCCTGGAGATTGTGACTTCATACAGCCAACAAATACAATATGTGGCAGAATTGGGTTTGGCTAGATTTCTCAGGTCATGTGCCCAGTTCAATCAGTTAAACCCATTTTCTGTTGCAGTGCAATTCCATGATGTGGGCACTTCACCCAGTGTTACAAGATGGAGTCAAACTTTGTTGTTGTTTTGAACTTAGCAAATCATTAGGATAGGCTTTAAATGTGAATTTTGAGACAATGGATATCAAATTCATATCAGCTCTTTTGACTCTGGGGCAGGCAGAGATACTGTTGAACTCACTGTGAATCATAAAATATGCAGCTGGTAAAATCATTTCTAGAAGTAATGAGAGTGTTTTTCCTGTGCTTGGCAGTGAACTTTAAATGATGTTTCCATCTGCAAAGCCTAGTGTACATTTGACCACAGTAGCAGTCGCAAGACTGGAAATTGCATCAGCATGCTATGACAAAATATTTTTCCCCTACTATTTCAAATCAACAATTCCCGCTTTGGTGCATTGCTTACATTTCTCACAACCAATCATGCAATAAACAATCAATTTTAAAAGTTCAGTAAACTGACAATCAGTGAATTGGACGAACCTTTAACTCTATCCTTATTTCTAGCCTTTGGGAAAGAATTTAGAGCACTTTAGATGAAATAGTTCCACATATTTCTCTTAACTTTATATTCAGTCTTACTTAGATTGTGCACCTTATGGAATTGCTAATGGATAAAAGAATAAAAGATGGATCTAATGGTACAGAATAGATTTCAATCTACTGAAGTAAAGGATTGTGTGCGTGAAAGGGTAGGGTAGATTTTTTTTTGTCAGTTTCCTATTTCTAATGTCTGAGAGGGTTGGATCATCTCCCAGAACAACATGGAAAGAAGCATGTGAGGCTTCAGATGAGAGGGAATCAATTTTAAAAACTCTTCTCCCGTCCCACAGGATGAAAAACTTCCCTGCAAGTTGAATTACACCATAATATTATATCAGTAGTTTATGTTTCCATTGTATGTTGGTGATGATGATTTAAATAACACAGAAGTAGGGAAAATTCAAATAGTCCAGGCTACTTGAAGGAGTCTGTCTTCCCATATAGAAAGTTAGCATGGTATAGTAGTTTGAGCTTGGACTCATCAGACCAGGGTTTGAATCCCCACTCAGGCATGGAAACCCACTAAGTGACCTTGGGCAAATCACATTTTCTCAACCACAGAGAAGGCAAAAGCAATACCCCCATTATGAATACATCTAGCCAAGAAAGTACTGCGATAGAACTTAGAGTTAGCATCTGTCAGAAATAACTTGAAGGCACACAAGAACAAAAACAGTTTCCTATATGAGTCTGTAAGAAAGATACTTCTTTATCCCATTGCCTTCACTGGTGGGAGAGTCTCTGGTGGGAGAAAAAAAAACACTTTTCTGTGATTGTTCCCACACTTTGGAGCCCACTCCCAAGGGAGGTTCAGGTGGCTCCTTTGTTTCCTTTTGGCAACAGGTTAAGACGTTTCTTTTCTAATAAGCTTTTGGAAAATGATTTTAATAAGCATGACTTTTTGATGCTTTACCATTTTTAACCTGCTTCATAGCAAGATTTTGGTTGGTTCTGCTGTACTGTATTAATTTTTTATTTTGAATGTTTTTCACTATTTATGTTTTCTTGCATCCTCTGTCTTTGTAAGCTACGTTGAGTCCAACCTGGGAGAAAGCAGGAATATAATTAAAGTGATGGGTGGTACCATTCGAAAAAATCAAATTTATTTAAAGACAAATTTTAAATCAACTGTATTGTCGAAGGCTTTCATGGCTGGAATCATTCAGTTCTTGTGGGGTTTTTTTGGGCCATATGGCCATGTTCTAGAGGCATTTCTCCTGACGTTTCGCCTGCATCTATGGCAAGCATCCTCACCTTTAAATCAACTTTTCAGATTTGAAAATTTGTGTATTTCCTGAACCAGCAGGCATGCTACTTAGTTAATAGTTAATACATTAATAAAACTATTATGGTTTGCCACATAAGTAGCCTTTGTAGGAAAGCAAAATGTATAATTTATTGTGAAGTGAGTCTCTGAGGATTTTTTTAAAAAAAGAAATAAGGATGGATTTGATAACTCCCATCAATGAAAGTGTATTTCGAAGAAAGATTTTGCACAGGCATCTAATTTTCCTCCTTTATTATCGAGGCACTATGTCAACTTCTTAAAATAAATGGGGGCGGGGGGCTACTTTGTCCATGCTGATTTTTCTTAAAAGAAAGGTGGGAATTATTTGGTACCATTGGATGCCAAGTATTTATTTATTTATTTATTTGTGTATGTATGTATGTATGTATTTATTTATTTATTTATTTATTTGCTAGCTGTATTTCTATTTATTTATTTATTGTGTCAGTATCAACCAGACAATTGTATTACATTTTTAACAATTTTTTAACAAACGGACAGAACAGAGTTTGCAAGTTTGGTAGTTGCTTAAATGTCCTTTGACCAGTATCTGGCCACTTGGAGTGCCTCTGGTATTGCTGCAAGGAGGTCCTCCATTGTGCTTGTGGCAGGGCTCAGGTTGCATTGCAGCAGGTGGTCTGTAGTTTGCTCTTCTCTACACTCACATGTCGTGGATTCCACTTTGTAGCCCCATTTCTTGAGGTTGACTCTGCATCTCATGGTGCCAGAGCGCAGTCTGCTCAGTGCCTTCCAAGTCGCCCAGTTTTCTGTGTGTCCAGGTATATATTTCTATACCAGCAGTTTTAGTTTGCATCTCTACCTGTGGTCTACATGTTTGGGAATGCAGTGCAGGTTAAATATTTGGAAAGCTGAGGGAAGGAAAGAATGGTCCAGTATTTACTGAAGAAGTTAGGAAAGATGGTGATTAGATGTTGGGGAAGAGTGGTGATTACACTAAGGTGGACAAAGGGCAGCCATGGAGCTGTGAGGGGCTCTTTTTTGTGTTTCCTACCCACTCGCTTCAAATCTTTTTTATGGGAAAAATTAAGTGCATTCCCTGGAACATCTAAGAAGTATGGTAGCACCCCCTCTCCCCTTATAACTAGATTAAAAGTCTATGTAATATGTAAAACGTTTTTTTTTCAAAACCAGATATAGATGTCCAGCTACCTTAGGTTTTATTTTTAATCTTCTTTATTCCAATAGGGGTTTCGGAGATCCTAGGTGCAGAAAATCTGCCTTAGCATCTCACCAAGTTGTCCACTCTGGTGGGTGTGGTGTAAAATTACTTACATTCTCTTGGAGATCATTTTTCAGTGTGGTCAGTTGCAGTCTGTCCTGATTAGAAATAAAAGATTTAATTGCTGTTATGAAGCAACATCATGGTAATTAACTAGCACTTTCTCTCTCCCTATTTTTCCCATAGGAAATAAAACCGGATCAAGTTACCAAATTGGCACTTGGAAAAGAAATTGATTTTGAGATTATCTGCAAAATGGTATGACTTGTCTTGTGTTTGTTTTATGTAATAGTGCATAATTGCTTGGAGAAACTTCTCACATATAACATCAGCAGACTTACTTAAAATCTGAGCAAAGAAATAGTTAATAAAATTCAGGTCTAATACTACTGGGAAGCATGTCATAGCGTTTGTTTTGACTTCTGAACCTGTTAGAAATCTACAAACATCTGGGACGGACTTTCTCTCTGTCCCACCACCCATTCAATTGCATTTGGTGGAAACAAGGGAGAGGACGTTTTCTGTGCCTGCTCCCAGACTTTGGAACTCCCTCCAAAGAGAGACTAGGATGGCCCTCTTGTTTGGCGCATTTAGTCCATTTATATTTAGAGAAAGTATTTTATGGTTCTCGTTCTTGAGATAGTAAATCATCATCCAATTATTCTTCGTCATGTGGAGTGGTCTGTTACTGTTGTTGAATGTCTTCCTTATCCAGGATCTGTTAGGGTTGCATTCTCTTCTTGCATTCTTAGATTTCTCTTTTTCCTTGGCCTTCTGATCTTTCTTCTGAATCTAGGTCTTTTTTTAATTGAATTGAACAACACAGTTACATCTCTTGGAAGTTTATTCCTAATTGCATGTTGAGATTAGAACACAAAGCTTTTGTTAATTTGAGTCTCAACCACTTACACTTATCTACCAAGGATTCCAGCCACAACTTTGGTTTTCCCTGTTTTCACATTTTTTGGCTGTGTCATGAAAGGCTTTATCTTAGTTCCACTATCAGCAGAGGCACATTTGGTGAGACTAGTTAGGAGGAGTCCTTTAAAAAGCTTCTCTGCCTTTGAAAATACAGCTGATGATAGTGAATTCCACAGTAAATGTTCTCCCCTCCCCTGAATGGGAAGCATATGAAGGCTGATGAAAACATTTTTTTCCCAAATAATTTTTGTCATTTACTTGGAAATTGACCTCCTTGTTGCTTTGATATTGTTGCTCTTCTTATTTGATAGTATTTTTGTGTAGTATTTTAGAAGCAGACTATCATTGTCATCATCATCATCATAGGCTATCACTCACGGCCGTATGATTGCCTTCCAAGTATAGGTGTTTGTGATGGGCCTGTAGGTGACTGTAGAGACTGTCTTCCATCTAGAGACCAATGTTATCATTGCAAAAGAACATGAGGATCAAAATAGGTCTCTACAGTCATCCTCTATGTAACCTGGGCCTATACCATGTAGGCCTTAAAGGTCAAAACAAATGCCTTGTGCTGTGCCCAGAAACTAATTGGCAACTAGTTAAGTGACTTTAGGATAGGTGTAATATGCTCACTCCTGAGTGTTCTCGTATTCAATCTAACTGTTGTATTTTGAACCAACTGGAATTTCCAAACCTAGGCCCCATCTACCTGTCTTTTTAATGCTGTTCGAAGCTAGCTTAAAACTGGGGAAGCTAGTCAACAAACCCTCACAAAACACATGAAATGAAGCCTTTGATGTGCCGCAGTGTCATGTTGTTTTTGTAATCACCATTGGGAGGAATTATACATTTCTTGTATAATCATCTTTGCAGCAAAGCCACTTTCTTCTTTGAAACTGAATTCAATGTGCCTTAAATTAAATTAAAAACTCTAGAAATTCCTCAGTAAGTGTTCTCTCAGGTAAAAAAAATAGTAATTCATGGTGGTCTCAAACCCTTAACAAATGAAGGGAATTGACTATTTCTTCAAAAAGTACAATATAAGTTATCATAGGAATAACATTCATAAAATTTAAACAATACCCCAGTTCTTTCAGGAATGGAAATTATTGTGGGTGTGTAAAAAAAACCCCACTGTTTCCTGATGGATTTCCATGGCAGACACATACTAAGTTCAAACAAAAGTGGTTGTGGTTACTTTGAGAACTTTGGTGATGAGGGAATGTTGCATTAAGGTGTGAGATTTGTCTGTCAGTGCCTAACTCAGACCCAGTAATGCAAATGATTCATCTTTGTGATCTTCAAAACATTTGTACTTTTGAACTATGCTCTTAAATATTTTCATAGACTTAAGTATTTGATGTCTAACTTAATGCCTCCTCAGTGCCAAAGGTACACATTCAGTCTTGAGACATCAACAGAAATGGCTCAGAAACCTTCCAGAAGTGTGTCCTGGTGTTTCTTTCCTGATACAGTTCTCTATGTTCCCTGAAATAATCTACAAACCATCAGAACAGATTTTGGGAACACATTGGGTTCCAGAGAGGAAAAAAATCCACTTCATTGAAAGATGCCACTCTACAGATGGACAGACTCAATAATATCTGATCTGGATGTTTTACACACTGCCCCTTATTTCTTATGACTCTCTTCCTGGCTTTGCCAGGTGTGGTTATCCTGTAATAACAAAGTTCAGATGTACACATAAACACCATATGGAAGACCTATGAATGGTTCCATGTTTCATTACTTTTAGGGAATGTATCTATGTATCTATCAAATTCATTGCCTTGTCACATAAAGAGCATTTATTACTTAGTAGAAATCTTAGGAGGAATTGTGTGAGATGGGGGATAATCCATGGAATGTGCTTCTTTTTGGCTACCATCTGGAACTCCTGCAGAAAAGGAAGCTGTTTATGGAATTTTTGTTTTGACACTATAATGTCATGTTTATGAAGACATACGCGTGAACTTTTTTCACCTATGGATGAAGTAAATGAATTCCTGGGTCAAAAGGTTTGCCCATGTCCAAAATGCCTGTTTATTGTGGTTCTCCTACTGATGAAAGACATTTGCTTTCCTTAGAAAAGGAAAATAGGCAGCAACCATCTGGATGTGGTGAAACTCCGCTGTCACTCCAGCAAATATTTTAAATCTTCAGGCATTGGCATTTGGCATTTAAATACATGCAAAGATTGATTTACTTCTTATTCGCTATATTTCAAATATAAACTAGTATTTTATATGGTCTTTTAAATTAAATACTGTTTGTTTCATTTTCAGTCCCAAAGCAGTTTAGACATTAGTATAGAATTTGGATATCAGTAGAAAAATGCCATATAATAACAGACTGAGTACAGTACATTACAGCTTTTCAAGTACAGTATGATAATACCTATATTATTATTTGTCAAATTCTACAATAGTCAGAAATAACTAAACATTATTGTTGTTATGTTCACGCACTGGATGTTTGCCTTTTATGATTGGAATCTGAGTCCCTTCGGGAAGATAGGGTAGAATATAAATAATTTTTTGTTGTTGTTACTATTATTATCATCATCATCATCGCCAACTCAGAGGCCATCTGCCCCTGGCAGTCACCATTATTTCTCTGTCCAGGAATTCAACAAGATCAGAAGTGGCACCATGGTTGAGAGGAGGGTGGGTCAATGCTTCTTTTAGATTATTTTGGGTTGGACTAAGCTCTTACTTTTCACCACATAGAAGGGGATATACAGTACTTACATTGGCCCATGGATAAGTCACCCCACTAATTTCTACACTAATACATCAGCGTATAGGCTAAGTTCTTAAACATAAATGCTACACAGTTCTTCCATATATTCACAGAATCAGGAATATGGATAGACATGTTTAGAAGACAACAAGAAATACCAGTAAGATTTTTTTTCAGTCTATAAACTTTTATTCGAAGTAATGAATATCAAAAACAAGATATTTTATCTTGAACAGGTGAGATTAAAAAACAAACAAAGTATCTTCTTACAAATTAGATGGGACATATTTCTTAACTGAATGCATACAGATTGAAATATATTTTCAATTATCTGTCTAAAAAACAATGTGGCTTCATAACAAATATGTTTCCACTATATCTCCCCGAAGGAAATCAGGACAAATTCCAATCATAAAAGGCAAACATCCAGTGCCTGAACATAACAATAATACGTTGTTATGCTCTAGTCTGTATGGATCACTACAACATACTCTGAATGGTACTTTCCCTTCTTCTCAGAGTGGCCTTCAACTTATTCACAGGTCATATCAAAATCCACAATTTTGGCCCCAAAACTGGTCTCAAATTATATATGAGGTCGTCTTATTCATAACTATATATGGTATAAATACGAAAGATGCTGTGTAGGCAATTCATTTTAGTATTATTTGTGCAAAGTTGACTATTGCTTGGATCAGTGAGTGAGATTTTATGGACTGTAGTTGGTGATACAGCATCATTATTTATTCTCTCCAAGATAATTTGCTTTTTTTTTCTTCACAGCCCAATTGTACAGCAAAAGACAGAGCAATTGCTCGATTGTCAGCTCACCCACTACTGAAGAAAAAAATTGCTGATATTAAAGGTAAGCCAAAATTAGGCCACCTAATCTATTTATATTCCGATCCTTTTTCCGGTTTTAAAACTGTTTAAAACTATACATCTAGTAGTTACTGAGCATTTGCCATAGTCATGGAGACCAAATATTTTGCATTGTGTTTATCTGAGATCATTAGGAAAGAGAACAGAACAATCTTGAAGAAAAACAATATATCCACCGATGCCTGGACTTGTACTAATCCATGTATTTGTAGGTTTTTTCTGAGTCATAAAATGCTATTACACTGGTCCCTTGATATCCACTGGGTTTGATTCCAGGATCCCCCATGGAGACCAAAGTCACTTTGCTTGGTCTGTATGTATCACTACAACATACTCTGAATGCTAGAAGCTCCTCAACATTTCAGACAGGTATTTTCACTACCATATTACCTGAAATATTTTAAATTTTGGATGCCAACATTAGAACACAGAAGTAAGCTACTATTATTCTAGGGTTTATCTTCTCAAAATATAGTTAGCACATTCCATGATGTCATTATTATTACAATATTTATGTTATATTTTAGCATAGCTACTGCACTGCTGTATTTAAAAAAACACTGTTTTTCCAGCTGCTGTAAAAGCCTTTAAAGATGCAAGACTGAAACCACCCAGAACTGTTTCTTCAGAAGAACATAAATCGGAAGAACAGTTTACCAAACAACCTGAGGAGACCCAACATTCCAGCAATAGGGAACATAACAAAACATTTAAGCAAGCTGAACACCAAGACAAAATAAAGGTGAAAGAGAAGCCAAGAACTGTCATGGGAAAGGAGCAAATTAGCGTGTTAGAAGTACAGAAAAAAGCAGACACTGAGCAACAGTGTCCTGTGGATGATTTCCCGCTGCAAGATGGAGAACATCCTAAATTAGCTCATCAAGTTCAAACAGATCATACAATCTGTCCAGAAGAAGAGAAGTGTTTGGGTGATCTCCACAGCAGGGCAGCTGAATCTGATAGTGATGAAAGTCAAAGTGAGGAAAGTGGAACTGAGAAGGAATATTTTGATGACAGCACCGAAGAGAGGTTCTATAATCAGTCTTCTGGCTCCGAGGAGAGTGACAGTAATGATGACTTCTTCATTGGGAAAGTAAAAAGAACAAAAAAGAGGGCAATGGCTGATACCTCCTTACCTAGAGAAGAGAAAAAAGGAATTATGTTAAAGAAGTCTGGTATGGTACAGGACACAGACACAAAACACAGCTCTCAGAGGTCAAAAGCAGCAAATCTCGATTCTGTATTTTGCTGTTCGTTGTCTAATTCAGACAAATCCAAAAATGTGACAAGGTAAGGGTTTTTTCTTTAATCTTCTTAATACAACTGGTGCATACCAGTAGTAAAATAGTAAATAGTAAACTTTTGGGCAAAGTTTGAGACTTGGACTCTTAATGAGTGATAGTTAACTAGAAGGAAGCATTTTACGAATCTTGAGAGACTTCATAACTTTTTGGGAGGCAAATAGTTTTAGTTCACTCTTTCAGCAGAGTGTGATTGAGGAGAGTTGGTATATACTGCTGATCCCACTCTGATGATAAAATCCCATGTCTTTCCTTTTTTCCCTCCACCATGTCTTGAAAAAAGTTTTTAAAGGCAAAGAAGAATCAATTTGTGCCCTACCCGCTTAAAGCAGAAATGAACAAAAAACGGTAGTCCACCCATTTACAATGAGACTACATTTATGTGATGAGATGGCAGAAAAAGAAAACAAGACATTCTGAACAAATAATGCTAATATAAGTGTGTCATATCCCTCTGGTATAAAGTCACATCCGTGTTTGTACCTGAATGTCAGCAGAAATGTACCTTTGCTGGAGCATGGCTGTTTTCATATATGTATGTATCCTGCCCCAACAATTTGAAGACTGTAGTTAAAAAAATTAAAAACAGTAAAATAATGTAAAGGCTAAAAGCGTATTTGGGCACAGCTAACCATGCCCCCAAAGCAGATGGGTTTTAACTTGGCATCTTAATGACAGCTGTTTGAGTTCCAGTCAGACTACTAGGAGAGGCCATTCCATAATTGACAGCCACAACAGGAAAGGGCAGCTGCCATATGTTCTCACAACATATTTTTTCTGTCTGATGGGACACAGAGGTAGGGCCCTCCAGCAGACCTAAGATCTAAGGTAAGTGTATGTAGGGAGAACCATTTCTTCAAGTATTGAGGTTCCTAGTGGTTTAGGAATTTGAATTCATAAGGTTCATACAGGATCTTAAACCAGAAGTGCAATGGTAGCCACTGTTGTTCTTTTATGGCCTAAGTACCAAAGGCACCAGATCCTGTCTGATCTTGGAAGCTAACTAGGGTCAGTACTTAAATGGAAGACCACCAGCAAATACCAGGCATTGTAGACTATATTGCAGAGGAAGGAACTGGCAAAACCACCTTTGAGTATTACTTGCCTAAGAAAACCCTATGCAGTTTATGTGAGCACCAAAAGTCAACAAGCGATGTGAAGTCGCATAATTCCTATAAAGCTGGTGTATGATTTATATTTGGTGTTCTGGTCAGGAATTTAGCTGCTTCATTTGGCACTACCAGCAGCTTCTGAGTAGACTTCAGAGGCAAACCCTCATAAAATGCATTGTATTAAGCTAGTCGAGAGAGTCAGCAGTGTATGGAATATTGTAGCAAAATTATCATATAAAGGTTATATCTGATTCAGTGTAGGAACTGTTGCTTTAGTCACTCGGGTCAAATGTTTTCATACTGTATGTGTTGAATCAGTTTTTATATTGAGACTTTCCTAGAAGAACTAGTACATTAAGCATTACTCACAGACTTAAGAAGAATGCAGTCTAGCCATGCAAATCTTATGTCAAGAATTCAGGAAAAGCCACAAAGCTCATTGTGACTATGCGAGCGCAGTTAAATAAACAACCCTTGAATGCTTAGATATGATTGAGGTTCATTTTATGGTTTCAGTTATCAAACGTTTGTTGATGTAAACGTATGTTTAAAAGGAAAATGTGTTAGGATGTTTTTTCCTACACTATCTAATCAAATCACTTCTATTTTTTAGAACTTCTAGAAACAATCTTCCCAGAAATAAATCTAGTAAGTCTCATTTCTCTTGCTGCTTGGCTTTGTGGAATAACAAAAGTAATATCTCATTTGTACTAACGATGTGGTAATAGTTTTTCAGATTGATTAAATCTTCTTTTTTTAAGTGCTGCTGTTGGTCTCAATCTTTGTCATTATTCACATTTCAAAATTTTGAGATACACTGTAGGAGGCCTGTGTAGTTTACTTTCCATCCTGATTATGGTAGTTGCTTGTAAAATAATGTGCTACCCTATTATTAATCCTATTTTCAAAAGTAAAATAGTTCCAAGTTTAGTGATATTAAAATGGGATCTTGCACATACATTCTCTTGAGTAAACCACATTTTTTCTAATATAAATGTATGTGTTTGGCAGGAATGTGTCAATTATATTGGAGCTTAGTTGTGTTAAAGTATTTCTTGAAAATTGAACTTTGCCCAAGAAAAAATGTATTTGTCTGTGTCATATAACTCAGGAAGTGTATATTCCAACAGAAAAATGTGCTTAGAAAATCCATGTGACTCCATTATTTTAAAGATGTATTTCTTAAGACATTTGCATTATGTCTTGGAAGATTATGTTTTTACATTAAAAATAAGTTATTTGGTGAGAATCAGAATAGTGTAGCAGTTTGAGCATTTTTTTTCTCGAGTTAGGAGCGACTTGAGAAACTGCAAGTCACTTCTGGTGTGAGAGAATTGGCCGTCTGCAAAGATGCTGCCCAGGAGTCACCCAAATGTTTGATGTTTTTCCATCCTTGTGGGAGGCTTCTCTCATATCCCTACATGGGGAGCTGGAGCTGAGAGAGGGAGATCAACCTGCTCTCCTCGTATTCAAACCGCTGACCTGTCGGTCAGCAGTCCTGTCATCACAAGAGTTTAACCCAGTGATTCTAAACCTGTGGGTCCCCAGATGTTTTGGCCTTCAACTTCCAGAAATCCTAACAGCTGGTAAACTGGCTGGGATTTTTGAGAGTTGTAGGCTTAAACATCTGGGGACCCATAGGTTGAGAACCACTGGTTTAACCCATTGTGCCACTGGGGACAGTTTGAGCATTAAACTACAATTTTTGAGACAATATTTCACATCCCTGCTTGACTGAAAACCTAAAGTGACCTTGGGCAAAGGAAGACAAAGGCAACTACCCTCTGAACAAATCTTTCCAAAAAACCAAGTGACAGGTTTAGTGTAGGGCACCTACTTGGGGGAACACAACAAATCTTTTTGGTATGTGTATGAATGGAGACAGAGAGATCACACACAAGAAATAATACAGAAAAAAAATTAAATTTTAGACAAACTTTAAGGAAATCTTCTAATTATTGTCTTTCATTCTTTCACAGCTTTTGAAAAAAGTCATCCACAGAAACACAAGCACAAAAGTTTAAGTATGAGGCAAGATACAGGGAAGAAACAATTGGAGCAAGCCCTTCATCCTTCATGGGAGGCAAGCAGAAAACGTCGAGAACAAGTATCTCAAATTACAGCATTCCAAGGCAAAAAAATTGTATTTGAAGACTGATTTTTTTTTAAAAAAAAAGCTTTTATATTTATATGATCCTAACAATATTGTGTGAAAGATTAACTTCTTGTTTATAATTGAAGTAAATACATAAAGTGTCTAAACTGCAAACAAAAGTTTTGGGGACAAAAGTCATTATTTGTCAGGAGTGTTTCCAACTGGGGTATTTTTAAATTGCCAAATGGGAACTTGCATGAAAGATTATACACTTAATTATTGGCAGCACTTTATCTTGAAATCATACAGAAAGGTAGGAGAACGGTCTGAATTTCGGTTATGACTTGAAAGTTGTCTTACTTGAACAGAGGAAGAGAGAAACATAAGCCTTATTTGGCTAAATGGTTTGGCTACATGGGTGGTGGGGACATGCTTGCAAATCATCTTGAAACATCCCCACCTCAGATACAGAGAAATTTTATTGTTCTTCATGGGCAACCTATTGCAACATATTAAATTAAAACCAGGCTCATACCATTTTCTAGTCGAATATTATATTTTAATCATAAAAAATTCTGAATTCCCCTCCCAAGTGTGTTGCCATTGGCCAGATGGAATGCAGGCACACAAGTTTCCAAGAAATCTTGTTTTTTTACAGGGGCATTGTGTAAGCAAAGTCCTCTCCCCACTTTCTTTTCCTGCCAAGTTTTCATGAGGAATATCTCAAGTGACCGGTTCACTGGACAAGTAACTGGCCCTCTTTTCCCAAAGGTGGAAGTAGGCAGCTAGCAGCAAAACGTTTTGGCTGGTTTATTTTGGATTTCAGCATAAGGGAGACTCAACATGCCTTTCTCTTTTTAGTGAATATTCAAATATTCTGAAATGAAAGGATTCTTATTAGATCCTCAAGTCTTATTTTACCCAATAAGTATGTCTGTAGTGTTTTGATGGAAACAGTAGAGAGAGGTTCTGAGCATTTGAAACATTTTTATTCAGTTCGTTTTCACAGAAATTTGCCACCATGATACAAGAATGTAACACAAGAATATGGAAGTGCATTGAAGAATACAAAGCTAGTGTACTAATAATTATAAATAACTTTTCAGAGAAAGATGCATAGATTTTTAAAAGGTCTTTGAAGAACTGCAGTAAAAAACTTTTTCATCCTTCAAGAAGGTACAAGTGACTTTTCATTGAATTTGTAATATTTGGTTGCTTATAAAGTTCCTGGTAGCAAACTGTTTTATTCAAGTTAAAATCTGTAAGCACCATTGTAATATCTGGAATGTGAAACAAATGTTTTTGCTATTGTAAGGCACTTAATGATATGCACATACCACTTCAGTTAAGTCCAACAAACATTATAGGAATGAATAGAGGCTGACTGGGAAAAATGCTCATTATATTTTACCATCAGAAATCCCTTAGGTTTAATCAAGGATCATAAAATGCTTGGAATGGCAGTGTTCTACATAAATACAAGCCAATTTGGGAAACAGAGTGAAAAAAGTAGTTTTGTGACCGATCTTCATGTTAGGTGTGTTATCCAGCTGGGAAGTTAATAGATCTGATGATTATTATAAGATGTGATCCGTTGATTCTTCTGTCTTCTAGGTACCACAGGAAGATTTCCACATTACAGTGATTATTTCTAAAATAGTATTTTCATATTAGAATAATTTTGACAATGGACATCCCAACTGGGGGATGAATCCAAAAGTGTTAAATAATTCTGTCCAAAAATTAACAACAGAGAAGGGGCATTTTGTAAGTAACCTGTATAGCATAGTTATTCAAAGCAGCTGGCAGGCCATTCCTACCACTTTAGCTGCCAACATGGAGCTATCAGCTTTGCTGAGACTCTGCTCCTCTCAATAGTCACCAGCTCCTTATTGCTAGCCATTTTTCCTGTTGTTGCCACAATAGCACTTCTTTTGTGCAAGCAAGCTTTGTAACATCTATATGTATTGTAGACGAACTATGATTGTTGGCATATGCTAATGCATACTGTTGAAAGGGGAAAATTTGAAATCAATTCTGCTGTCATGGAATCCTGAGATTTGTAGTTTTTTATATCCCCCTACCAAAAAACTTTTTTAATATAGTGTGTGGAAGTGGGCTAGATAATTGTAAGTCCCTCCCCAATCCTAAATTCCCAGATTTCCATAGTACGAAGTCACAACAGTTTGTAATAAGGAATAGCTACATGCGATGTCTGATAGTTCAGTACACATGATAACCATCAGATATGGCATCACTGACAAGTTGAAAGAACAAAATCTCTCAAAATCAGTCATATCAGACAAATCAAAAAGTGTGTTCTTGCCCCAAATCTGAGGAATAAAACAAGTTTCAGTACTAACAGAGTGTGAAATCCAGCTATGCTTGTTTGCTGGTGGAATTGATTCCTGCTGTATTGTGCCTATTGTGCTACTATAGTTTGCTTTGCAGGCTTATGGTAGAAGAACAGATTTGGGACAAGGCGGAAGGAAAGAAACTCCCTTGGTGCAAGTAGAATTATGTGTGACTGACATTTTAGTTATAGACAATAGTCTACAGATGTCTGGGATTCACCCAGATGATCTAAAAATATTTATTGCTCAGAAGCCAAACCATCAATTGAATCCAGGAAAGAAATTAAGAAATAAATTATATTTCAAGTTTCCTGTGTCACTTTTGACAAATTGTGCTATAGGCTGTATTTCCAAGAAAGGGACAGGCAAAATCAGCTGAGTGTTCTTGGACTAAACTTTATGAAATTCATGGAGTTGACATCAATTGCCAGCCAAAAGGACATAAACACTATAGAATGCAATCAAAAATTAAGCAGTTTTCCTAGTTTTATCTAGCACAGCCAGCAACTATTTAGAAGGCCCTTTCAGCAAACTGCTAGTGGGGAGAAGACTCCTATTGATATAAAATATTTCTCATGGGGATATTTAATGGATAAACTGAGTTTCAGCAAAAGAGGGAACAATTCTTTTACATATAAGTAATTTACCTCTAAATATTTCTGGTTTGTCCACTAAACCACCAGTACATGCTATCACCTATGTCAGGAATCATCCTACTATAGTATTGTGTGTAGTTTTTAAATAACTCATTCCATCTATCTAAACAGACAATTTGGGTACAGTACTTTTGAGTTCCTGAAGAACATATATTATCATTCAGAAATTCCAGGCTTCTTAGGCTTGCTGTAGGACACCACTTGGATATATTACTATTGATCTTTTAAACAATCTATCTTCTATTATAAGCAGTGATTTGATTTACTTCAAATAATGAAAGATACCAGGACATCTAGTTTGTAAACTTTGATATTTTTCCATGGTACACATACCCAGCTTTAATCCAGTTCATTCAAATCCCAAGTGTTCTTTTTCACAAAGCATTAAAGCACCATAAACCCTTTTATAACCCACTTAAAAAAATAGTGATGGAAGTTTCGATCACCAGCTGGTTCAGGTTTTGCCACATGATCACTGAGATTTCCTATTTTTTTAATATAATTACACTCCAAATCAATATAACATTACTTCCATGATCTCAAAAAGGCTATAGCAAAAAAAAAAAAAAAACCTAAAAGGGGGACTATCAAAAGCAATTTTGTGAAATTAGACAGGAAAAATCCCCTCTTAAAAACAGCATATTAGCTTCCATCGGGCAAACATGAAACATCAGATGAAACCTATAGAATCTCAGCCTATTCAAACACTCTTTTAAATTGTTCTTAAAACACATTCACAGATAGCGTACTGATTTCCAGTGGTCAAAGGGAAGACATTTCTGTGAACAGTAGAACTTCCTGGAGAATTCAAATTTCTGAGTTTAAAGCACCAATCTTTCACTGCTCTCAAATGCTGAATGTGTTAATTGAGTAACACAATTTATTCCAAAGGAGGTCTTAATGCTTCAGACTTGCATTAAAATTCTTTGTATATACTCTGCTTCTTTTTACGTTTTCAAAAGTTTTTACATCCTATCTCAGTTTATAAAATAATTGTTTTGCAACAATGGGCACCGATTCATAAATTTTCTTTCAGCTTAGTATCTATTAAAAAGAGAAGAAACAGCATGTAAGTACAACATATTACACATAATTAGAAGTAAGCATTAGTTTTAAAATTTAAGCAAAACAGTTTGATAGTTACTTTTCTTCTGCTTAAATTCTTATCAACAAGGACATAGAATAAATAGTAACATCTATTCGTGTTGTGGAAGAGGGTTAAAACACAAATACCAGTATGTTTAATCTTGAAAGAGGTTCTTTTTTTAAAAAAAAAATGAAATCTGCCTTATTCTCACAGAAAAAGAGCTGTTTAAGATTATTGTTTTAAAAGAAGATTCTCAGCCCAGTGACTAGCTGTGACAAATTCTTCTTATGGCGCTGTTAATGTCACGTTGATTTGTGAAAATACTACAGTTTTACTTAAATCCCTGTGAATTTACACTGTTAAGAAGAAAACCTACAATTCTGGGGAAGGCTTCTTAGTCTGTTGGCTTTTTATACTGATTGTAATTTTAGGCTCATAGTTGTAGTAGGAGATTCAGTTGGTGTTTGGCTGAATAAAATATATGAGGTAAGGATAAAGGTTTCCCCTTGACAAGTCCGACCCTGGGGGGTTGTGCTCATCTCAGTTTCTAAGCCAAAGAGCCGGCGTTGTCTGTAGATGCCTCCTAGGTCATGTGACCGGCATGGAGCACCAGTACCTTCCCACTGATCTACTCACATTTGCATGTTTTCATACTGTTAGGTTGGCAGAAGCTGGGGCTAACAACAGGAGCTCATCCTGTCCCCACAGATTAGAACCACGAACCTTCTGGTCAGCAAGTTCTTCAGCTTAGTGATTTAACCTGCTGCGCCACTACAGCCCCAAATAATATATATAATTGTAGGTTTAATTGTGGTAGTGTTGATTAACCTTTAATAATGCATTTGAGAACAACTTGGAGAATACAGCAAATGCAAAAAATTATAGGAAAGGGCTCACTGATTATAAATATTTAATCCCAACCTACAATGTATTGTGAAGTGCAAATGACCATTTTCATCAATAAGTTTCAGAATTTAGAATGTAATCCAATGTAAGACACAAAAATCCTATCTGAGCTTGGAAGCTGAGTACAGTCTGCCCTGGTTGGTACTTGGATAAGAGGCCATTCTTCTGAAATATATCCTTCAATACCTGGTATTCATTGATGGTCTACTTTCAAAGTACTAACCAAGAACCAATCCTGTTTAGCTTCCAAAATCGGTTGGGATCAGGTACCTTTGAGATATTTAGTTACCACTTTTTTTTGGGGGGTGGGGGGCTACTTTTGGTATAATCTTGTTGCCAGCAAGTGTAACTCATTAGAGGTGACTATACACATTTCCCTCTCCATTTGCACATTTTAATGCAGAAAGTAACTTCTATGTGTGCCGGAGAAAGTACCATCCCACAAATCATTGGCAGCTATATTTATGTTTAGCCCAACTTGTACTTCTGTGTCTCCATGAGATTAAAAGCCTGTTGGAGGGCCCAGCATATTGTGAGAGAGCAACCTCCAACAGCCTTGGTATGGAAACCCCAAGTTAACTTGAATTTGTTTGGAGTCCCTGGTGTTCTAAAAGATGCTCTGTATGTAGAACGGATAAGCAGTATCCGGAGAATTTATAAGTGCAAGCCAGAAATAACAGCTGAAGCTGACTAAGTCTGTGCAGCAGTAGGAATGTACAAATCCCTTTAAATCCCCCAAACAAGATTTTTAAGGGAGAAGTATTTCAGAAAGAATTCAACTTGAGTGTCTTGCATTGGCAAGTAAATCAACACTTGCATTATTGTAGGTTCATGCTAGGCCATTCAATTACCCTGATCATACAAAAAAACCAAATGTATCATTTAGTCTTCTAATTTTACAGCTGTGTAATTAAGGAAATGGACAGACATTGACCCATTTCCAAATATAACTCTAAACCAGGGTTAGAAATTACAAGACTCTGTACCTGATCTTTTTGTTTAAGGGACAGGGGCTTAGAGAGAGTTGGCAGCCCTCAAGTTACCCTTGGCAGACAATATAGTCCCATAACTTCCTGTAGTTGCCAACCCCAAATTTAAACAATGGTATGTTCAAACAAGTTATCGTGGTTCTGGTACAAATGTATTACATTCAAATGAGAGTTCCCTCAAGCTCAGAATAAGGGAGAACTCACCCAGTTCCAAATATAAAACTCTAAACCAGGTGTGGGAGTTACCATACTCTATATTTATTGGATATACAGGCAGTTCCCAAGTTAAAAAAAGATCGGATCTGTAGGTTTGTTCTTAAGTTGAATTTGTATGTAAGTCTGAACAGGTTCATTTTTAAGTGTAACTCCAGCCAAATATCTATCTATCTATCTATCTTTAAGTTCTGAATAGCTTTGGGAAGGGTTAACACCCCTGTGGTGTTTGTTTTGCTGTTTGTGGCCCTGTTCCGAAGATTTCACCTCACTTTCCTTCCCTGTAATAATTGAATTTTGGAAAGAAAAAAAAAAGATCTGTTGTGGAAACAAGGATGCGTGAAAAAGCTTCAGAAGCAGCATCAGTCCCCATGATATCTGAGGAGCAAATATCCCTTCCGAGGGGTAGACTTCTCTCACTTCCTGTTGTCTCACCCCTGTTCTTAACTATTAGTCATTTATATGTTGAAAGTTTGTAACTTTAGTTTTCTGTCTGGCAGATTTGTCATTAAAGCATACTACTTTTTCCTAAATACCATGCACATGTGATACTAGTACAGAAAAACACATAAGACTGAACTGGGAAGTACTTACGGAGAAATTGTACAACCAGAGGCATATGCATGGTGGCCTGTATAGCGGATATCACAACGCACTATATTGTTGGAATAGTCTGATTCTGGTACCAAGTAGCTAGGATTCACACTAACCTGTAAAATTAATATATTCTATGTGTTATAATCTCACATACTATTACCCTATGTATAATTTTTATTAAGGCATTTTGATTACCTTTAAAATGTAATTTCCAGGTTTTACATCTGTAATATCAATCCATTGGCAGTCTATGTCAGCATTGTATGTGTCATAACATCCAGGACTCAGTCCCTAGAATTGTAATTTAGAAACAGTTGAAGGTGTTGACTGATTGCAATTTCTTAGCAATTTGCCGTACAATCCAACATTGTAATTTTTATTCAAACATTGCACTGTACCTTGGAGAACCTAATAATTACTGTACAACCATTTCTACATTGACATCTGGAGCAATACAGTAAGCCTTGATTTTCAAATGACTTTTGGTTTGGCTCTAGAGGTATTTTATGTAAGCAAAAAGGCAACTGAAGGATCATAATGCAGCTATATCAAAGTATCAGTATTCCCCATCTTGTTGCAGTTTCTTTTGCCCCTCAAATAGGGAGGCAGAGAGACTAGCAAAAGAGCCAAATTGGGCTTTTTATTTCTGGATCCAACCCAATATTTGTTTTGTTCATTAGCCTACAAAAGTAACTGCTATAGTAATACAAATATTATAACATTTCTAATGATAATTTATTCACTTTTCCATCTCAATATCAAGTTAATATGGGATCATCTTCCTCCCATTTCTGTCCCAAAGTAAGACAACAACTTGCAATGGAGTTACTGAGTATAATAAAAAGATTTACACTGGTCTTTGTCCAATCCTCACTGCAATTTTGTTGGAGTAAAGAAAAGGCTTAATTTAGGAAACATGTTATTGTCCTGAAATGACAGCTTCATTTAAGCTGTGGACATACAGTTCTTTTGGGCTCTATGTAATATGTGAGGTCCAGTCCCTTTCTCCACCCTGAAATCATTCTGAGTGGTGCCTGACTGCCCCTGTGAAAAGCACGTTTGGCTACAGATGGTGTGTCACTTGGCAGGAGTGAAGTACTTGCTATGGAGAAGGAGGTCATGGGTGTATTGAGTGCTGGCAGCAGGATGCATTTTTTAAAAAAATCTAGAATCTGGACGTAGTCTTCGATTGCTGAGGAAAATATGTCACAACAAGCACAGGTCTTGAAACAGATGAAGCCACAAGAATTTTAAAAGAATTCAAAGTAGCATTCGTTTGTAAAGAGTGCTATATATTATGCGGAGATCCTTGGTGAGCAGTTGCCAGCTGTACTCTCACCTACTGTACTGCCATGATCCCTAGCAGTCCCTACAGCCATGGAATGTGTGTTGTAACTGGCTGCCACTGCAATACAGTTCCTTCCCAGGATTGCAAACCTATAAACTAAAGCTTATTGAAAACAGGGAATAGGAGGGTTCAGGATATACTGGTCTATATCCAGCCAAATTAACAGGAGAAAAGTATCACTGGTTTTACATATTGATGCATGAAAACTCAACAAACTATCCTGCACAAGCTATGAAAGTAGTAATCCTCAAGATCTAGTCAATGTTAATACAAAACACTATTGGTTAGATGCAAAGTTATAATTCACATGCATCAGTGGAATGGCAAGAAGTGACAATCTTTCTCAATGTCTCATTTTCCCTACAGCCCCTAAATTACCAATTAGAAGGCTATTCTGAAGTTGTCAGAGAACTCTCCTTCGCCTTCTAGTGTTTTCCATGTCCTGTCTTTAATTCACTGAACACATAATCCAGATCTATCCAATTGTGTGTAAGGGCATGAAGAATGTTTCGTGAACATTTTCCCCAGAAAATTTATTTATCTATTTATTTGTGACATTTATATCCCACCCTTTTCACCCCGAAGGGACTCAGAGGACCTTACATAATTGGCATAATTCCATGCCCAAACAACAATTAAAAGCAATTTAACAAAAACGTAAAACATTAAATCAACATATATAAACATTACACAATTGTAAATAGATCATAATTATCAATCCAGGGTTAATTACAACTATTGCACAGATAATTATGCTGGGTCAAATGCTTGCTCCAAAAGACTAGTTTTCACTTGTTTGCGAAATGATAGGAGGAAAGGGGCCTATTGAATCTCCACATCCGAGGAGCCACCACTGAGAAGGCCCTGTCTCTCGTCCCCACCAGTCACACCTGTGAAGATGATGAGACCAAGAGTAGGGCCTTTTATTCTCTGTGATGATTCATAGAGGGAGATGCGTTTAGACAGATAAGTTGGGCTGGGGCCATTCAGGGCTTTATAGGCCAAAGCCAGCACTTTGAATTGTATCCAGTAGCAAACAGGCAGCCAGTGGAGCTGGTACAACAGATGGGTTGTGTTTTCCCTATACACCATTCAGGCTAGCAATCTGGCTGCCATGTGTTGGACTAGTTGAAGCTTCCAAATAGTCTTCAAAGGCAACTCCATGTAGAGCCTGTTACAGTAGTCTATACAGGATGTAACCAGCGCATGGACCACTATGGCCAAGTCTGACTTCCCAAGGTATGGATGCGACAGGCGCACAAGTTTTAATTTAATTTCACTGATACTGTTTTCAGTGCTTGATATAATACAGTATTATGCTTCTAATTATGTTTCTGGATTTCATATTTTTGCAGCAATGATATATTGCTTAATTATCACAGATGCTCATGAATGTTAAGTGTGGCACATACAGCGTACCCCTACTGTATAAAGCAAATCCCCCCAAAAAATAGGTTTTTATAACCACAGTCCAATATACTAAATTATTTGTGTGTATTGTTTCCTATGGCATCTTTCGTACCTCTTTATCTTCTGTGTATATTATGATTTAATTAAAGAAATACAACTAGTTATTTATTGACAGGAAGGCCTGGATCCTATTGTTAGTCCCAAATAGAAGAAACCTACTGAATTAATGTCATTTATAAGTGTTGGGTCATCAGTCAATAACTGATTCAACAGGCCCACCCTAATACTACTACCAACAAGATTCAGGCCTTTGGATTTGCATGGAGACAGGTCTACAACTATGAATCTTAATCAGACTGAATCTGAATTATTTAGGGTGAACAAAGTCCATCAAGTATGCATAATAAACCCTATGTCCAGGTTTTCTGTACATCAAAACAAATACACAAATTATTGGGGAAAAAAATCAAAGCCAACTCTTTATATACAACCTTCAGCATCCTCTAATGTTATGGCTGACTGCCAGAATTCCAGTTGTCATTACCTTCAACTAGTGACACATACCTCAGATTATAATACTGCATATTTAACAACTATTTAAGTTTTAATATATTTTACAAGCACACAGATATCTAAATTTGAACATGATAATGAGCCATCCAGTGTGATGTGAAATCAACAAACAACAGTGACCTTTATTAAGAAATACTGCTAAATATGTGAACTTGACAGAAAACAGGTATAGCACAAGCACATAGGGAAATTCCTTTTCTGGAAACCTTCTAATGTCTTTGGAATCTATGGCAAACTCATTTTTAAGATTCCAAGATTCGCACTGAAAAGTCTTCATAATCTAGATTATGATTAGTGAAAAACAAATAATACCTTATATCCCTGATAGGGGCATGTACATATTACTTGAATGAGCTATATTAGGTGGCTAAAACAATGTAGTCCTTAGAGTATAGAGCTGAGACTCACTATGTTCACATTAACTTCCCTAATGAACTTTGAAACTCACTTAATTGATCTTGCTTAGCCATATCCTCCCAGCCAGATCTACCTCACTGGATTATTGTGTAGATAAACCAGTTAGGAGGAGAGCCATGTACACTGTCTTGAGCTAACTGGAGGAAAGATGGGTTATAAATAGGCCGGACTGGACTGGTAAGTATTATGACACAAACTTACTTTTTGTCCTAATCAAAGGTCAGCCAATCTTCAGTTAAACTGCTAATGAGGCATTGAACATCACCCTACACTTTGTATTTCTATCTTCAGTCTGCTGCGGTATACTTCCTTATTCCTAAAAACCCACAAAGGACCCAACAAGTCTAAGACAGGCTTAAATATCCCTTTCTGTTCCTATATGTAATTATCTTCTTAGAAAGGTCCTAAGTTAAACCTACAAGTACAGAAATTGAAGTTTATTAAATTGCATATGCCAGTATTTTTTGGTCCATTAAAACTTGCAATTTAAACCAAGCTGTATTAAAAAAAAACAAGCAACGGTTTACAAATAACAGCCTTACCTGGGTATGCGCAGTACATGCATATCTCCTATAATATCCATAATCACAAGATGTATCTTCAAGACAAAAGCTTGCTTTATGTCCCTCAGCTACCCTTCTGTGTGAGCTTGCTTCAAGTAAGTCGTAATGACTGAATTCATCCATACTGTGATAATGTCTGTCAAATCGCAAGAAAATTAGTAAACAGATTTGCTTTCCTACAAGTTAAACCAGTAACCATATCAATAACTCAATGAAATGACCCAACAAATCTACCATTAATAAGATTGTAAAAGATACATAATACTGCAATATTTGAAACTCATGGGTTAATATTTCAGGGGTGTTCACAACAAGTTGGGATAGTCAACAACTATATGAAACATATAACTTTTAAAAAACAGATATCATTAAATTTCTTTAAAAGCAATGTACAAACATTATTTCAACATTTCCAGCTGTGATGAATAAACAGAACTGCTGTACAGCATCCAGCTGTTACCCTAGAACAAAAACCAAGAATGTAACCTCGTACAGTGAAAATTCTGAACACTTCTATCATTGAAACATTTGCATAACTTATGAAAAAATATGTGGAATTTACTCTTAAACTCCTTTGTGTCAGCCATCCTCATTTAGTTTAAAATGGCATGCTGCTTTACCATTTTTGTATTAGCCATTTTTATGATAATCCTTGTTTATACAATGAGATCCCCATACCCGGTGGGACACGTTCCTAGCTGCACTTTGAATATCTGAAAGCAGATGAGACCAACTACCATTGAAATAGCTGACATCTGGTTCCAGAGTTGTGTAAAGATTTCTAGGTCTGCCAATTCAACTCTACAGTAAGTTCTGGAGGAAGCATATAAAATATTTCCTGGAGAATCCAGCTAATTTCTAGAGAGACCATTTTTCCACAGATGCAGATAAGTGAAACCACATATATGAGTTCCGTTGTTATTGGGGGGAGGGGGTATCATACTATATTCTGAAAGTCATTTTTCTACAGTGATTTCATCCACAAAGGAGTAGCAGGAAGAGTATACCAGTATATACACATATACATATTTTAGTCAGCCATAGCCAGGTACTATTAGTCTGCTGCTAAAACACTGAAAACAAACAAAATGTGAACACAAATGTGATCTAAAACTATGAAGAGCAGAATGGCCAAATGAGAAGCAAAAACTATGTTCTGGTCAACACTCAGCAGGAGCAACAACAGCACTACTACTATGTTGCAGTTCAAATTCATATGCAATATACTCCAGTTCAGTTCAACTTCAGGTCTGGTACTAACATACTACAGTATAGCCTCCATATCTGAAGAGGGCACGTTCCAAGACACACACATTCTCCCCCCCCCCCCCATAATGGATAGTATAATTTGTCCATACTTGGATTAGGTAGAAAACATATCACAGAATCGCACCCCTTTACTATGTGTGTATATGCCTTCAAGTTATCTGTCAACTTACGGTGACCCCATTACTTCATTGGGATTTCTATGGCAAGAAATTCTTAGAGGTGGTTTTGCCAGTTTATTTCTCTGAAATAGAGTCCACAGCACCTATATTTGTTGGTGATCTCCTATCCAAGTAGAACTGACCTTGCTTAGCTTTCTAGATCACACAAGAGCTGGTTCCATTACAATTTAGCCCTTTATGGTTATAATGCATACATTATTTTAGCAAGATACCATTTTCTGTCACTCTTGGACAAAAAATATGTCAGATATTCCTTTTGCATTCTTAAGATGGCAAGTTTCCAGACCTCTGCTATACTTCCAAAACAGCAGCCAGGAGTAGAAGGCAGAGAGAGAACCACATCACAACAAAGAGCAAATAAACATAATTGAAAAATACCATACTGAGCACTTCACTCACTGATGGCAGCTGTGCCACTCCCATGAGTATCGTGGTCGGCTTGGCAAAAAATCCGAAGTGCCTTGGTTTTTCACTCTTTGAGGGAATCTCAGAAGTACTCTGTTGTCATAATCTCTAACATCTCCCCGGTAAGCAGAGCTGCAATGATGTAAAATATGCATATGACATGTAGGCTCAATGCTACTTGTTAAACAAAGATTCAGCTTATAGTGCAATTTTTGCATTTAAAAAACAAGGAAATCATTGAGTTAGCTTGAGACTTCCTGAGTTTGCTTCAGATTTAGATATAATTAGATTAGACCCACTGAATATATGGGACAACTCTAACCATAACTTATCCTGCCTCTATCAATGCATTGAGAACTCAACATTAAAAAATCTGGCACTATTTAACAGTCTCCAGTGGAACAACTTTATGTTTAGGCCTTCTAAAAATATGACATTGGCATTAATTATGTTTTCCTATTGTTTTTGGAAATTTGGTCTCTTTCTGAGTTGTTTGGAATGAGATGCAGGACAACATATATACTAATTTAAATAAAACGAAATGAATAACGTTATATGTAACATTTCACAAGCACATTCATTCAACAAGTCTTTCAGTGGAAACTTTTGCACCCTGTGACAACTCGAGGAGATCTGTCAACTCTCAAGAGCAAATTTTGCATCTGCAGAAGGAATTTCAGGGGAAGAGGGAATCAATTTTACCACATGTGACTTTTCAGGTGAATGGATATGAGCTCTTACTGACAAAAAGCATGATCCTTTATTGTCCATTCAGTATTAAGTCCCACTTCTGGATTTACCCTATCCATAGATAGGTTCAATAACTTAAAATATCTGTCAGTGGTGCTGTGGAAATCAGAGCTTCTGTTTTTATTGCTAAGTCAAAGTTCACTTTGAATATTTAGCCAGCCAGACAATTTTTTTCTACCAGATTTGTTTGTTTCTGTTTCCTCTTAACTGCTGTTCATGCCCACTGACTTGCCACTTCTTTCCTCTCCTGCCAATTTCAGCAATGCTTATTTCTCTTCTCTATAATTCTTCTGTTTTTAATCATCTCAACTAAGAATATTTTGAAGGTGTGTTACATTCCTACTTCAGCTTGTGGTTTAACTTCTGGAAAACATTATTTTTTCAGATGAAGTTGCAACTGCGTCCACATCCCTGCAATATATTTGTCACCAGCTTTGTTTTTATAGTAAACACTCTGATCAGTTTTGTAGTATTGTTGTAATAATTATAAGGTGTGTAAATTATATTTGGAATAATTTTAAAGGCAGGTTTCTACAACATTATTGAATTTATTGAAATGGTTAAAAGCCATTTTGAGTTCAGCTCCAAACAAAACAAAGAAATTATTCTTTGCCAGCAAGGCAAGTAAAGTGCATTACAGTTTATTGAGGTTTTCCCTAAATGTTGGACACAGATGTGCTCTGCAGTTTATGTACAGTGCAGCCTTATTCATTTATACTCAAAAGCAAATTCTATCCAGTTCAATTGGACTCTTTCCCATAAGCCTCATATAAGCACCATCTTTTAGAACTCCATTCTGTTCAAGTTTGCCATACTCAAGACACTGTATTGCCTTAGGTTAAAAGAAGGCATCTTCTTCTATACAGTCCATTGATGTCAATGGAGCTTACTCCCAAATACCCGCAAATGCAGTTTACTTCATGACTACACAAATGACAATCAGTTTGACTAACAGTCAATTTATGTGCTACTGGGAGCAACATATTTTTTAAAAGGAGGTGGTTTAAGGACAATTTAGAAATTGCAATAATAAAAAAGTTTGTTAAAAACTAGTTTCATAAGTGATGTGTTCAGAGGCAAATTGTTTTCAAACAATGAGCAAAGCTCTAGATTAATAAGAAACAGGCCTTGGTAAGGCATTAATTCCCAGACAATAAGGGTATGGAAGTTTGTATCTTGGTCAACAAACTCTCAGCAGAGGATAATAAAAACAACATGTTTTGTGAATTGAGACAAAGGAGTGAATGCTCCACTTAATTTCTCTCCCTCCCTTTTTAAGATACTAGTGATGTTTTCAAAACTTTGCTATTGAATCCTGAACAATGTTGTAAAAGACAACCCCATTTCACAAACTTCAGAATTTACAAGGCTGCTTTATAGTTACTCCCAGATCCCCTTGGCGACTGACTGAGGATCACAACAGTCACTTCTCTCAGTTCTGCAAACTCTTGTATACAGGTTTTACATCTTTCTATCATATTCAGGAATAAAATAGATAAATGGAGGATCACGGACTAACCTTGCCAGGCAGTTCTCCTCAGCAGCACACCTAAGGTTGTACATGGATGTCCTCTGGACATAGGTGGATGCTTGGATGTAATAGGGATCTGGAACTAAATCAGGAAGACCTGCAAGACATCAAATCAAAGAAAGAGAAATTGTATCAACCCAAAAACATGTCTGCAAACTTCCTTTTCCCTGACAGGGAAACAATTTTCTACCACAACACTACAATCCACTAGTCTAACACCCATCTAATAAAGAGCTACTTTCCCCCAGTTCAAAAGAAGTATAAGGAAGCAATGTGTCTTGCAGATTAGTGGATACTGTGTGACACCCCACTCCGTTAGCCATATTTTCTCATAAATCTTCAAGCATTCCCACCATAAGGACGCCAGCTGAAGAAAGGATTTGAAATCTGCCAAATCAAAAAACCAGAAATATACTTGATACTGCAGAGCTCTGCTCTTTGGTTTAAGGAGCTATAGCTACTACAAAAAGCTGTGAGCTGAGCATCTATATGAGGCAGGCAATGTTTTGAATTAAACCCTATTATAAGATGAGCTTTACCATGAAAAGCATCTGTAGTCCTTCTCTGAAACTCAAAGAGAAAGCTCTTGTACTAATTTTCTTTATTCTAGGAGCGGGCAATGAGATTGACAGAATACAATTCAGCTTTCTTCAGTCTGGTTAATCTCCAGCACCTTTGCCCTGCACATAGAAGCAAGTAGATTATTTGAATTTAAGAGCCCTCAGAAAAATGCATGCTCTCAAGATCAGTATTAACTTTATATCCCACCTTCTCCCAAAAATTGGGATTTAAGGCAGTTTAATATGAGAGCCAGCATGGCATAATAGTGGTTTGATTCTGGAGACCAGGTATGGTCTCAGGTTCAGAAGAAGGCAAAAGCAAACCTCTTCTGAACAAATCTTGCCAAGAAAACCCAGTGATAGGTTCTCAGGATTGCCGATGGGATGTGAAAAGACACAAGAAGTAGAGCCAGTGTGAGGCAGTGGTTCAAGTGCTGGACTAGGAGCCCTTCCAGACGGGCCCTATATCCCAGGATCTGATCCCAGGTTTTCTGTTTATCCCAGATTACTGGCAGTGGAGACTCATATAATCCAGTTTAAAACAGAAACCCTGGAAATAGATCCTGGAATACAGGGCCTGTCTGGAAGGGCCCTAGAACTCTGGGAGACTAGTCTTTGAAAACCTACTCAGCCAAGAGAATCCATTAGGGCAGTGGTTCTCAACCTGTGGGTCCCCAGATGTTTTGGCCTTCAACTCCCAGAAATCCTAACAACTAGTAAATTGGCTAGGATTTCTGGGAGTTGTAGGCCAAAACACCTGGGACCCACAGGTTGAGAACCACTGCATTAGGAGTACAGCTAATACAGTTTGACACCACTTTAACTGCCATGGCTCAATGTTATGGGATCATGGGAGTTGCAGTTTTACAAGGTCTTTGGCCTTCTCTGCCAAAGAATGCTGGTGCCTCACTAAACTCCAAATCCCAGGATTCCATAGCATTGAGCTGGCAGTCAAAGAACTACATTCATTCTACAATGTAGATGCACCTTAGGTGACCTTGGGCTTTCTCTCTGTCTTAGAGGAAGGCAATGACAAATCTCCCCCTAAACAAATTTTCGCAAGAGGACCCTCGGCTAGAAGATGGAGTTGACTTTAACAAGAAGTGAACATTTCTCCTGGAAAATCTTTCCATGCCTTCCAGTTTTATTATTCAGCTTTCCATTCTAGGGCAGGAGAGGGATTCAGTTTTTATCCCCCTTCTTATAAAACAAAAGAAGCAACACTCTAGCTGACACTAGTATTGAAAAGAATCATGTTTCAATCACTATCTCCTCTTGCTGACAGCGGAGGGCAGGAGGAGAATTGGGACCAGATGGTGACGACTGGCTGAGGAATGGCTGGCCTAGCATTCCCTGGCGACCCTAGCAAGGCTTTGACACGCAGCACCATTGAGAACTTGTGGCTTTGCAGAGAGGGGGTCTCATGGCCCCTTTGTTCAAAGTTCTCTTCTGCCAATCCAAGGATGCATCCTCAGTGTAGCATGAATGCAGTTAACTGCCATGTCTCAATGCCATGGAATCCTGGTGGTTGTAATTTGGTGATGAACCACCCCTGCTAGGCAGGGACAGCTAAAGTTCTTGTAAAACTACAACTCCCATGATTCCATAGTATTGAACCATGGCAGTTACAGCAAAACAGTGTCAAGGTGCATATATCTACTGTAGTATAGATGCATCCCAAGTTGCCCTCGTGTTTTCTCAGCGCAAGCATGCCATCTTGAATCATACTTTTCAAAGGGTTCATCTCCATCTTCTTTATACAGTAATTAGTGCCAAGTACATGTTTGTTTGTTTTTTTCCCCTATGTATGGATGCAAACCGGGAACCATTTACTCTGTAATGTCCCACAACCATATAGAAGCAAGTATAGTTCTATGCAGGCATTATCGTCTCATGGTTAACCACAACTCCCCTTGTTCCTCATCACATTAACTGCCACAGCGGAATGCTATGGAATCATGGAAGTTGTCGTTTCACCTGGTCTTTTGATGCCTCTGCCAAAAAGTGTTGGTGCCTTACCAAACTCCAAATACCAATATGGCATAGCATTGAACCATGGCAGTTGAAGCGGTGTCAAAAGCATTGTTTCCTCAATTCTGCTTTTTCCAGGTGTTTTGGACCTCAGCTCCCAGAATCCCTGATCATTAACTAACATAGATGAGGCTTCTGGGAGTTGAAGTCAAAAGACCAGAGTTTGGGAATTACCAAGTGGCCGTTCATAACCTTCCTTTGCACATGCACACTATCCTCAACTGCACTGATCTGGACCACCACAGGTGCATGTACACTGTAGAATGGATGCTGTTTGACACAACTGACTGCCATAGCTCCATGCTATTGAATCATTGGAGCTGCAGTTTTACAAAATCTTCTGCCAAAGAGTTCTGCTGCCTCGCCAAACTGGAAATCCCAGGATCTCATAGCACTGTGCATGGTGCTAAACTTGTATTGTTTCTCAAATTGGTTTTCCAGGTGTTTGATACTTCAGCTCCCAGAATTACTGATCACTGACCAACACAGCTGAGGCTTCTGGGAACTGAACTTCAAAGCAGTTGGAAGACTAGAGGTATGCTCTTCGTGGCGCTTTAGACTTCAGCTCCCAGAATCCCTGATTACTGGGCAAAGCAGCTAAAACTTCAGGGAGTTGAACTCCAAAACATTGAAGGACCAAGTTCAATTCTTCCTAATACAGGAAGTCCTCAGGTTACAAACAAGATAGCTATACGCTTTATAGTGCCATTTTCTAGTGTTTGATAGGAGTTGCCCGGTCCTGCTCGCTCAGGCTCATAGTCTAACCCCCTGAAAGGTACAGAGTTAAGCAGCCACACTCTCTCATAGAGTAAGACACGCTCATTGTCCAGGTGGAGGCCACAAGGGGATCTTGACAGAGAGGACCCCCTTTTACAGGGGGTGGGGGAGAGTTTAAAACCCTACACCTATGTTGCTGTCATCGAAACTATCATTGTTTATGACATGGGAAAGGGAGGGGCAGAAATAACCAGCTAAAATAGCGGAAATGGTTTTCTTCCTTCAACTCCCCCTTCCCTCCAATAAAATGAACTATACTTCTCTCTATAGGTCTTCTTATGGAGTCCACCTAGATAATGGAACAGTATTACTTGACATATGTAAGCCGCCTTGAGTCCTCTTCAGAGTAAAGAAAGGTGGGGTATTAATAGGGTAAATAAATAAATAAATAAATAAATAAATAAATAAATAAATAATAGATAGTAAAGGCTCATGTGGTCTTTGTTTTGCTGTCTGTGCTTTGTTCAGAAGATATCACCTCACTTTCTGTATCTATAAGAATTGGATTTTGCAAAATGAGGCTTGTGGAAACAAGGCTTGGTGATACAGCTTCAGTGGAGACACCTTTTCCCCATGATAACTCCTCTCCAGGAGTGAATTTCCCTTCCCAGGGGTAGATTTCTCTCACTTCCTGTTGTCTCACCCTTGTTCTGAACTAGGAGTTGTTTGTCACTTAGGGACTGCCTGTACTTTGAACTTTGTTTGTCACTTAGGGACTGCCTGTACTTTGAACTTCAGCTCCCAAGATCCCTGATCATTAGCCAAGACTAGGGCCAATACTCCTGAAAGCTGAAATCCAAAACACCTGAAAGGACAGCGGATTGTTGTGAGTTAGCTGATGTTTCATCCAAATCTATGGCAGCCATCCTCAGAGATTGTGAGGTGTGTTGGAAACAAGGCAAGTGGGGTTTATATATCTGTGGCGCGTCTAGGATGCCTACCACAGATGTGGGTGAAATGTCAGGAGAGAATGCTTCTGGAACATGGCCATACAGCCCAGAAAACTCACAGCAACCCGGTGATTCCGGCCATGAAAGCCTTCGACAACACACTTGAAAGGACAGGCTGCCTCCTACAGAATCCTGGGGTTTGTAGGCTAGTGAGGACCAGGACTTCTCTGGCACAGAATGTTGAAGCTGCAGAATGCAGCCATAGGATTTAAAGTGGATGAAGACATTCTATGAGGCATGGGCAAACATGGGCCCTCCAGGTGTCAACTTCAACTCCAACCATTCCTAACATCCTCAGGCCTTTTCCTTTTCCCTTAAGCAGCAGAGGGGGGAAAGGAAAGGGCCTGAGGGTGTTAGAATGGTGGGAGTTGAAGTCCAAAACACCTGCAAGTCCCAAGTTGGCCCATGACTTTGTGTGATGGGTGGCTTGCCTTTCTGTGGCTTGCCTCTGCGCATAGGTCAGTGTTTCTAAACCTAGGGGTCGGGACCCCTGGGGGGTTGCGAGGGGGCATCAGTGGAGTTGCCAAAGACCATCAGAAAACACAATATTTTTGGTTGATCAGGGAGGTTCTGTGTGGATGGGGCTCTGTCGTTAGTGGGGTTCTGAATGCTCATTGATTGTAGGTGAGCTATAAATCCCAGCAACTACAACTCCCTAAATGTCAAGCTCTATTTTCCCCAAACTCCACCAGTGCACACATTTGGGCATATTGAGTATTTGTGCCAAGTCTACTCCAAATCTATCATTGTTTGAGTCCACAGTGCTGTCTGGATGTAGGTGAACTACAACTCCAAAACTCAAGGTCAATGCCCACCAAATCCTACCAGTGTTTTCTGTTGGTCATGGGAGTCCTGTGTGCCAAATTTGGTTCAATTCCATTGTTTGAGTTCAGAAATGCTCTTTGATTGTAAGTTAACTATAAATTCCAGCAACTACAACTCCCAAATAACAAAATCAATCCTTCCCCCAACCCCACCAGTATTCAAATTTGGGCGTATTGGGGTTTTGTGCCAAATTTGGTCCAGTGAATGAAAATACATCTTGCATATCAGATATTTATGAAACTCCCTTCCTAGTAATATTAGATCGGCCCCCTCCCTCCTGTCCTTCAGAAGGATGGTGAAGACCTGGCTGTGGGACCAAGCCTTTGAGGCAGTGCAATGAGGCAAAATGGTGTCCTGAGATGGTCTGTAAACAACGTTTAATGTTAATATACATTATTTTAAGGTTTGTATATACTTATGGTTTTATGTCCTGGCATTGAATGTTTGCCTGTATGTTAGCAGGCCCGTAGCCAGGGTTTCGATTCGGGGGGGGGGGGGGGGGGGGGGCAAACCTTTTGTATCGTTACCCCAATACCCCCATGCATATGGGATATATTGAGTATGGTGATCAGATCATGATATGAATAAACATAACAGTTTGAATAATGCACCAGTAAGGCCTTTTCGCGAACCACCATGAGAATTTTGGGGGGGGGGGGTGAAGCCCCTCGAGCCCCCTCCCCCTGGCTACATGCCTGCTCTGTGAGCAAGCAGATGGTGACTACTGGATGGCATATCTTCTATATATATATATATGTTGTGCTCGCCCCTGAGTCCCTTCGGGGTGAGAAGGGCAGAATATAAATGTTTTAAATAAATAAATAATAAACTAGAAAAAAAAGGCACCCCCAGTGGCACAATGGGTTAAAGCACTGAGAGACAGTCACTGCTGACTGAAAGGTTGCAGGTTTCAATCCGGGGAGTGGTGTGAGCTCCTGCTATTAGCCCCAGCTTCTGCCAACCTAGCAGTTCGAAAACATGCAAATGTGAGTAGACCAATAGGTACCACTCCGGCAGGAAGGTAAAAGTCCTGCATGCAGTCATGCCAGGCACATAACCTTGGAGGTGTCTATGGACAACGCCAGCTCTTCAGCTTCAGAAATAGAGATAAGCACCAACCCCCAGGGTCGGACACGACTGGACTTAATGTCAGGGGAAAACCTTTACCTTAACCTTTACTTTAGCAGCAGCAAAATTACAATTGTGAAGTAGGGACGAAAATATGGTGATAGTGGTGGGGGGGGGGGGTCACCACAACCTGAGGAACTGTATTAAGGGGTTGGGGCATTAGGAAGGCTGGGAGCCACWMRCAYAGGCACTTCCAAGAGAGAGACACGGATTCGCCTTCTTACCATACTGGAAGTACCCCGTGCCATAACCGGGCCGGTACCGGCTGCTCTGCCGGGGCCTCTCGTAGGTGTCGTGGTAGTTGTAATACGGGTTGTCGTCGGTGTACTTGTAAGGGTTGTAGGGGTCGTCGCCTTGCATCACGTCATCGCGGCGGCGGGGCAAGCTGTTCAGTGGAGGCGCATTACTGCTGCTGCTGCTGGTGTTGTTGTTGCCCGGCCGGGAGGAGGCACTCTCGGGCGGCGGCGCTCTCCCCGCTCCTCCTCCTCCTCCGGCTTGGAACCAAAGGCGCGGCTCTTGCCCCTGGGCGTCGGGGGCGAGGGAGGGCGGCGAGGCGGGAGGCGCAGCCCTGCGCGGGGCCGTCCCGTTCCCCCGGAGCAGCAGGACGTGGTTGCCTTGCGGCGCCTCCGAGCTGTGCCTCCTCCGCGGGGGCTGGTACTGGGAGCCCACGCTGAGGAGGCTGTACACCTGCCCGTTGTTCTCCCACTGAATCCGCTGCTGCCACACCGCCGGGGGAGGAGGAGGAGGAGCGGGGTTCCTCGGAGGAGGCAATCCCTCCGCTTGGAGCCAGAAGAGGCCGAGCCAACAGAGAAGCCGGGAGAAGAGGCGCATCGTGGCTTCACGGTGTTCACAACAACACCACTCGTGCCTTTGGGAGCAGTAATACAAAGCGGAGCGGTCCGTCCTCTTTGATGAGCCCCTTCGACTGAAGTCTCGCTTCCTTACTAGTCTGAAAACCACCTCTCACTTTCTCTCTTCTTCCCAGATGGGTTTTCTCCGCTGAATGAAGAGCGAAAAGGAGCCTTTTCTCTCTGCTTCCCAATTGGGTTTCCTTCCTTCCCTTTAAGAGATGAGTATGGAGAGAGAAGGCGCCCTCTTTCTCTCTCTCTCTCTCCTTCCCAGTTGTGTTTTCTTCTCTCCACTGGAGAAATGGATGTGGAAAGGAGCGAGTCTCTCTCTCTCTCTCTCTCTCTCTCTCTCTCCCTTTGGCTGCTGTCTGAGACCAAGAGACGGAGGAGGGGAGAAAGGCTGGGGAGGAGGGATTCTGCTTTATTATTTTTTAAAACTTTTCTGGCACAGTTGCAAAGTTACACAAGGCTGTTTGTTCACGTAATGGGATTCCTGACATGAGATGTCGACGGCACCCCCATTTTTTTTTCTCCTCTCACTGATAGACACAGGGTGTATCTACTCTATACTGTGGAATAAATACAGCCTGAAACCATTTCAGATAACCTAGTTGAAAGCAGATATTGTGGGATTTTCTGCTTTGATATCATGGGTTATAGGGCTGTGTGGAAGGGCCCATAAGATCTGGGCAATTTCAGCACTGGGGACCCTTCCACATAGCCCTATATCCCAGAATATCAAGGCAGAAAATCCCACATTATCTGAGGACCTTTCCAAACAGACCCTGTATATCCCAGGATCTGATCCCAGGTTTTCTGTTTATCCCAGATTATCTGAAGGTGGGGACTTATATAATCCAGTTTAATGCAGAAAAACTGGGATCAGATCCTGGGATATAGGACCTTTCTGGAAGGGCCCCAAAGTGTGGACTCAGATAACCCAGTAGAAAGCAGATATTGTGGGATTTTCTGCCTTGATATTCTGGAATATAGGGCTATGTGGAAGGCCCCCCAGTGCTGAAATTGCCCAGATACTAAACAGCCTCTGGGGATGCCTGCCATAGATGCAGGCAAAATGTCAGGAAATAATGCTTCTTGAACATGGCCATACAACCCGAAAAACGTACAGCAACCCAGTGATTCCAGCCATGAAAGCATTTGACAAAGCAGAGTTGATGCCCCCCTCCAAACTACAAATCCCATTGTCCCACGAATACACCACAGCATTGAACCATGGCAGTTAAAGGGGGGGGGGTCAAACTGTATGCGTGTGTGTGTGTACACACACATATATTCATTCAAAGGGGTTGGATCATGTTTGCACATATTACAAGTTTTGATTTATTTTTTTAAAATGGAATAACTTAACTAAATTCTAGCCACTTCTAATATTACCCTAATACTAAAGACAATAAGACAAACAAGGACAGACACCTATTCCATAATAATAATATTAATACTACTACTACTAATAATAATAATAATAATAATAATAATAATAGTAAATGACACAGTCCTAGATGCTTGGGAAATGTTCGACTTGTGATTTTGTGATACGAAATCCAGCATATAGATCTCGTTTGCTGTGACATATTGTGCTTTTGTGTCAGTAAAATAATAATAATAATAATAATAATAATAATAATAATCTGCTACAAGAAGATCGCACAGACTACAAGCAGAGGCATAACGCCATTGCTCACATGATTCATTGGAATTTGTGCCACAAATGCTATCTGCCTGTGACAAAGAACTGGTGGGATCACAAGCCAGAAAAAGTTACAGAGAATGAACATGCCAAGCTACTCTGGGACTTCCAAATTCAAACAGAGTTTTGGAGCACAATACTCCTGACCTCACAATCATGTTAAAAAACAAAGTATGGATTGTTGATGTTGCAGTCCCAGGTGACAGCAGGATTGAAGAGAAACAACTGGAAAAGCTGACACAATATGAGGATTTAAAGATCAAACTGCAAAGACTCTGGCACAAGCCAGTAAAGGTGGTCCCAGTGGTAATCGGCACACTGGGTGCAGTGCCTAAAGACCTTGGCCTGCACTTAAACACAATCGGCGCTGACAAGTTTACCATCTGCCAGCTGCAGAAGGCCACCTTACTGGGATCTGCACGCATTATTCGCCGATGCATCTCTACTGGCTGCCGTTTATTTTCCGAGCTCAGTTTAAGGTGCAGGTGCTTACCTACAAAGCCCTGAATGGTTTGGGCCATCCTACCTGCGTTACCGCATCTCTGTCTACGAACCCACTCATTCACTTCGTTCATCTGGGGAGGCCCTGCTCGTGATCCTGCGTCGCAAGCGCGTTTGGTGGGGACGCGAGACAGGGCCTTTTCTGTGGTGGCCCCCCACTCTGGAACACCCTCCCCAAAGATCTTAGACAGGCCCCTACATTGGCAGTCTTTAGAAAGAACTTGAAGACCTGGCTGTTCCGATGTGCCTTCCAGAATAGGAAAACTCCAATAACAAGTCCCAGAAGCACTTTATTAGAATTAAGATTGCTGGCACACTGCACTTACCCTATAATCCTTACATATCACCTGTCACATCAGCACTTTTAATCTGTACCCATTACTCTGGCCCGGCCCAGTTTTATTGTGTCTTGGTGTATTGTTTATTGCTTGTTGTTTAATATTGCTTTAACTGTTTTTAATTTGCTTTAGGTTATGTAATGTTATGTTGTGTTTTGAGGCCTTGGCCTTTGTAAGCCGCATCGAGTCCTTCAGGAGATGCTAGCAGGGTACAAATAAAGTTAATAATAATAATAATAATAATAATAATAAAGTGTCTGACGTGTGATCCAATACAACAGCCAGCAGAGTGTCTGCTGTGGACTCATCTTGTTGTGTTTCAAGTAATAATAATAATAAACTTTATTTATATCCCACCACCACCTTCCCAAAGGGACTTGGGACAGCTTACTAAGGCACTCCAGGGTGCAGCATATAACATACAATGGTACAAAAATATAAAACAATAAAACATAACATTATAACAACAACCATTACCAATGCATATAACAAAAAATAAAATTGCTCCATTTTATAATGCAGAACACCTGTAGATAAAAACTAGTTGCCAGCAATTCACAAACCAAAGTACCAGCATGTCAACCTCATTTAGGCCCATTACAGCCTACTTGAGGTTAAAGGCCTGTTTAAAAATCCTTGTTTTTAGGCTAGATCGGAAGGATTGGGGGGTGGGGGCTAACCTAATCTCTTATGGGAGGGTATTCCAGAGCTGGGGAACCACCACCAAAAAGCCCTCTCTCAAGAGAAGGGACTCCTCTGCAGATTTCAAAGCCCGCACCGGTTGATAGAAAGAAATGCAGTCTCGAAGATAGGTTGAAAAGGAAAATAGTTGGAAGAGAGTAGAGCTGCTTTAATAGAGGTGTGGTATGCTCTCTATAACTAGCCCGAGTTAATAATCTGGCAGCCAACCTTTGCACTAGCTGCAGTTTCTGAACCATCTTCAAAGGCAGCCCCACGGAAAGTGCTTACCATAGTCCATTCTGGATTTAACTAAGGCATGGACCACCATGGCCAAGTCAGGCTTCTCGTGGTACAGTCACAGTTGACACATAGTGTGAAGGCGCTCCCAGCCACTGCCAACAACTGAGCTTCAAGCATCAATGATGAATCCAGGAGAACCCCCAGACTCCGGACCTGTGTCCTCGGGGAGTGTAGCCCCGTCGAGCACAGGTTGACACCCTATACCCCGATCCACCTCACGACTGAACAAGAGGACTTCTATCTTGTATGGATTAAGCCTCAGATTGTTGGCTCTCATCCAGTCCATCACAGCTGCCAGGCACTGGTCCAGGATATGGAGAGCTTCCTTGGAGTGAGGTGGAAAAGAGTAGTAGATTTGAGTGTCATCTGCATTATCCTATAGCATTGAGCTATGGCAGTTAAGAGGGTGTCAAACTGCATTCCTTTTAAAAAATATATTATTATGTTTATTTATACCCTGATTTATCACTCCAGAGGAAACTCGGGGCCCTTCCATACAGCCATATAACCCAGAATATCAAGGCAGAAAATCCCACAATATCTGCTTTGAACTAAGTTATCAGAGGGCCGTTCTAGACAGACCCTATATCCCAGGATCTGATTCCAGGTTTTCTGTTTATCCCAGATTATCTGGCAGTGTGGACTCTAATTCAGTTTAAAGCAGAACACCTGGGATCAGATCCTGGGATATAGGACCTGTCTGGAAGAGCCCTGAGTCCACACTGCTGTATATTCCAGTTCAAAGCAGATAATGTGGGATTTTATTCAGTCGTGTGGAAGGGACCTCAACGTGACTTACATTAAAAGTATTACTACATAATTTAAAATATACTATTATTCAAACATTAAAAGAGAATTAAACATAACAGTATTTTAAAAAATCACAGTTAAAATCAATTAAACATATTCAAAGCTTTAAACCATAGCACCCCCTGACTTGACACTCCGTAATGCTCTTTTTGGGGTGGTGTCTGAGGGAAGCCAAGAGGGTCGAGGCAGAGTTGGTTTCCACACAGAAGATGGCCATAAGGGTTAACAGCAGCAGCAGGCAGGCTTCCTTCTCCTTTGCTCTTTCCTCAGACTCCTGAGGCCTTGCCAGGTGCTGAGGCGCCGCCAAAATATGCACAGAGAAAAATGCTATTAGATCATCAGCGCCGACTCAGAAAGAGAGAGACCAGAAAGCTGAGTCCAAAGAGAGGAGACGGAACATGTTTTCTGGGAAATGTGTTATTTTTTGCCCTAGACCTCTCTCTCCCATCATAGGAGCTCTGAGGGGAACCTTAGTGGTGTCTGAGGTGGGAAAGTCCAGAATAAGAGAAAGCCCAACAACCCGATGTCCACTTGTCATTATGACCTCCTTGTATAAACTCCTGCATACCAAGTTTTGTGGGACTTTTTATTCTGGGGTGAGTCTTTGGTGGTGACTGAGGTGGAAATGCACAAAACACAAATATCTCAACAAGGCAGCTTCACCTCAACACCACACACATTACAACAGCCACTCCACATCCGCTTGAAACGCTCCTTATTCAGTATGGTCCAAATCCACCTCAAATAAACTCCTGCATACCAAGTTTAGTTTTGTTTTTTAACACTGGGGTGAGTCACAGGAGGACTTCGTGACCGACGTGTCTCCTGGAAGAGAGACTCACTTCAAAACAGGGTTTTCCCCGAGAGGAACCCACTGTCATGTCCAAAAATGTCAGACGGGGAAATGGGAGAGGTTTTTCCTCCCCTTTTTTCTGAGGAAAATGTTAGTAATTCTATTATAAGGAATCGAGACAATCTGCTGAATCCCA